GGAGCGCGATTTGAAATCTGTAATTTCTTCTTCTTCTTCTTCTTCTTCTTCTTCTTCTTCTTCTTCTTATTATTATTATTATTATTATTATTATTATTATCTAATGGTCTAGTTATTAGTCGTCTGCAAGTGTGTGATAATCAATGGTCCAAGAGGGAATTTCAGATAACAAAAGAAATGGTGATGGGGAGGGTGACTAAAAACGTACTCATTAGTTATATTCAAGGATTTTGAAAAAGGAAAAGCTTAAAGATGGCGGAGATGTGGACGGTAAAAGCGAGAAAGAGAAGTCTGGGTGGAATGAAAGAAGAAAGGTCGTAAATAAATAAAACGAACGAATTGAAAAAAGCAGAAGAAGGAGAGAAGGAGAAAGGAGGGAAGGAAGGGTGACAGGAAAGAAAAAGGAAATAACGTAAATAGGGGGAAAATGAGGAGAAAGAGAAAAGGGCCCCAAAAGTAGAAAGAGAGATAGGTAGATCGATATAAACAGACAGTGATATCTATCTATCTATCTATCTATCTATCTATCTATCTATCTATATATATATATATATATATATATATATATATATATATATATATATGAAAAAGAAGATACACCGTAAATGTTGATTTTTATTTTAAAATATATATTATACTCTATATTCCATAATTCAACATTTCAAACAAAAACGTTTGTGGTTTATCTTCTTTTTAAAATATACACTTTTCTCTCGTTGAACTACTATAACCTCTTCCCTTATATATATATATATATATATATATATATATATATATATATATATATATATAGAGAGAGAGAGAGAGAGAGAGAGAGAGAGACAGAGAGAGAGAGAGAGAGACAGAGAGAGATTTGAACAGACTGATACAGATAGATAAATAGGTAGGTAGATATGAACAGTGATAGATAGATAGATAGATAGATAGATAGATAGATAGATAGATAGATAGATATGACAGACTGAGACAGACAGACAGATAGATAGATAGATAGATCGATAAGAACACAGAAAGAGCAAACGAGAGAGAAAGAGAGAGAGAGAGAGAGAATGAAGCAAGAAACTCAAAATAACAAAGGATTAAAAGAGAAGGATGATGAAGACAGCAAAGAAAAGAGATGAGAAAGAGAAAGAGAAAGATGGAAAAGAATGAAACGACAAGGACAAAGCAAAAGACAAATGAAGCAATGAATGATAAAAAAATGAAAAAAATAAAAAAAAACGAGGTAAAAAACAATGAAGAAAAATACAGAAGGAAGCAGAAAGAGAGGAAGGCAAATTTAGAAGTACCAAAAAGTAACAAGAATTTAGAAGTGAAAGAAAGAAAAGGCAAGGAGAGAGAGAGAGAGAGAGAGAGGGGATAAAGAGAGAGGGGGAGATAAAGAAAGAGAGAGGGGAGATAAAGAGAGTGAGAGAGAGAGTGGGAGATAAAGAGAGTGAGAAAAAGAGGGGGTGATAAAGAGAGAGGGGGAGATAAAGAGAGTGAGAGAGAGAGGGGAGATAAAGAGAGGGGGAGATAAAGTGGGGGAGATAAAGAGAGAGAGATAAAGAGAGTGAGAGAGAGAGAGGAGATAAAGAGAGAGAGGGGGAGATAAAGAGTGAGAGGGGAGATAGAGAGAGAGAGAGGGGAGATAAAGAGTGAGAGGGGAGATAAAGAGAGAGAGAGGGGGAGATAAAGAGAGTGAGAAAGAGAGGGGAGATAAAGAGAGAGAGAGAGGGGGAGATAGAGAGGAGAGAGAGGGGAGATAAAGAGAGGGGAGATAAAGAGAGAGAGGGGGAGATAAAGAGAGAGAGAGAGAGAAATGAAATAGAAATAGAACAAAGATTGACAGCACTTTTTATTTTATTTGAAACTGATTATTAACTAAAATTAATTAAAATTTTAATTAAACGAGAAAATATTTTATTGTGACTCACACAACATATATCCCTTTCCCTCAATCCTGATACCATCTGGGATATTCGAAATAATAAGGTTAAGAAAGAAATAATATTTTCTAAATCACTGAGATATTTACATTACTCGGACTGTTATCCTCATCTTCATTGCCATATTCACAACGTTTCGGCCTCTAGATTTCTGAGATTATGTATTATGATTACTTACATTATTTACATTATTTGGACTGTAATAATACAAGGAATCATAATACCTCATCTCGGAGATATAGAGGCCAAAACGTGAATATGACAATGAAGGTGAGTAAAACAGTCCGAATAATGTAAATAATGTAAGTAATCATAATACCTCAAGAGGTCAAATTACAATAGATTAACCTCTTTTCCTCTATCTCTTTATCCCATCTTCTAGTTAAATAAGTTAAAAAAAGTAAAAGAGAATGATAAAAAGAATCGTTAGTAACACTATACTCGTTGTGTAAACGCGTACAGCCATAAGCAACCGAACGAGAAACAGCCAGACATCTTATAAACGTAAACAATGGAAAAGGTTTGCTATGTTTGTATTTTACAATCATGTGCCATGCGTGACGAGGCAGTTTTTTTTACCGCAGTAGCTTGCCATATCTTTCTGCGGCAGAACAGTTGCCATCCAAGGCCCTAGAACTCGGTGTCTCCCGCTATTTACGCATAGCTAGGGGGGGGGGAGAAGAGGGTATTAGCACATAAGTGAATGTAATGGATTTGACTAGAATTCGAACTCCTATTCTTCATTTCGAGCAGCTATCTATTCAGTTACGTGCTATGCGTGATAGACGCTTAGGCGATCATGTATCTTTCGATACATGACTGACGAGGTAATTTTTTTCCCGCAGTAGGTTGCCATTTCTTTCTTCGGTAGACCAGTTGCCATCCACAGGACCTAGTTCGTCCTGCTATTTACCCATAGCTGGGGGGGATGAGAAGAACAGGATTCATACCTTAAGTAAGTGAATGTAATGGCTGGAATTCGAACTCGGCTCTCCAATTCCTCAATCCGAGCCGCTATCCACTACTCCACAGTGCCTCTTTCTTTTACGGTATGATGCTAATATGTGAATATTACATGCATTATTATTGGAGACAGTTAAGTAAAACACCAGTTTATTAAAATCCTGTTTATTTTAAATACAGCTGCACTTTTTGACTACAGTAAATGGGTATATAGTTTGGTCAACAGCATAGTCAGGGCCAGCAGTGCATACATTAATTTTATATCTTATGTATGATACAACCCTCTTAAAATTAGCTACAAAATTAGATCTTCAAAAGTCACATGATATGTGAATATTACATGCATTATTATTGGATACAGTTAAGTAAAACACCAGTTTATTAAAATCTTATTTATTTTAAATACAGCTGCACTTTTTAATACAGTAAATGGTTATATAGTTTGGTCAACGTAGTCAGGGCCAGCAGTACATACACTAATTTTATATCTCCTATATGATGCGACCCCCTTAAAATTAACTGTAAAATTGTCTTCAAAATTCGCATGATACGCGAGTATATACGGCGTATCTTGTGAGCAAAACTGTCTTAATTTTAAACGTGTCAACAAACGAAGGAATATGAGACAATGTCAGAGTATGGACATTATCACCACGTTTTCGAAGCTGAGTCAACTTAAAAAATACATTATTTATATAATAGTTAGGACTTTCGTATACCATTAATGTTATCAAAACCTGCTGTATTCACTTTATTGACGTTTTTAAAACATGTTTTGTGAATTTCCTGAGACGTTCAATTCCGCTGATTCATAAAGAACAACTATGGCCGACTTATCTAATACCTTTTGTAAACAACTGTTATCAACACCTGCCTACTTAATGTTTTATTATCTCGTCTGCTGACTGATTGTATTTGCAATCTTGCTGTTTCAAATATGAGGTTTTTGAGCCGAATAAAAATATCTGTAATCGTACTAGTGTATCCCAGCTGTCCTTTTTTTTTGCCTTGAATTTTCGTTCAAAATTTTCTTCGATGACACACAAGCAATAGAATAAGCGTCTTTGGATTTTTTTTCGATGAACGAGGGTGGGCTGAAAAGTTCATAGGCTGACTATGAAGAGTTGTGAAATCTTGAATGCATTAATTTCAACTCTTTTCATTAATAACTGCATTGTTTCATTCCAGGTACGAGGCTGGGCTGAAAAGTTCATAGGCTGACTATGAAGGAGTACTGCTAGAGCTGTGAAATCTTGCATGCATTCATTTCAACTCTCCTTCTTTCCAGGCACGAGGGTGGGCTGAAAAGTTCATAGGCTGACTATGAAGGAGTACTGCTAAAGCTGTGAAATCTTGCATGCATTCATTTCAACTTTTCTTATTAATAAATGCCTTGTTTCTTTCCAGGCACGAGGGTGGGATGAAAAGTTCATAGGCTGACTATGAAGGAATAGTGCTAAAGCTGTGAAATCTTGCATGCATTCATTTCAACTCTTTTTATTAATAATTTCATTGTTCTTTCCAGGGCTAGGTGTGGGATGAAAAGTTCATAGGCTGACTATGAAGGAGCGATGGTCGACCTGTGAAATCCTCCATACATTCATTTCAACCCTTCCTATTAAAAAGTCCTTTGTTTATTTCCAGATAAACTGACATCTCACTGTTCAAAGAAAGCTTTAAATGCAACTAGTAGCAACTTCTCTTGAAAATGGACAAAAATTGGCATTGTGGTATTATGAATTACCTGCAGAAAAAGAATTTAACCCCTAAATACGTTCATGCTAAAACCATTGATACTTTAGGGGATGACGCCCCCGTTTTATCAACAGTGCAAAAGTGGGCAGTTAAGTTGTGGAGGGGAAGATCACCCAAGTTTGGATGTCCTGCGACTGCTACCACAATTGGGAATATTGGTGATGGATGAAAGGCCACTGATTCTAAATCAAATAGCCAATGCTAGTAGCATATCCCATGAGAGAGTGAAGGAGATTCTACACAATGAACTTGGCATGATGAAGGTTTCTTTTCGGCGGGTGCCACGTCTTCTGAAAGCTGATTAAAAGTGCACCAGGCTGATTACATCATGGGATAATCTGACATTGCTTGAGGCAAATCCAGATGGTTTCCTTGAACATTTCCTAACCCTTGATAAGGTTTAGGGTTGATCACTTTGAGACAGAGACAAGGAGATAATCCCTGCAGTGGAAACACCTGCTGCAGAGAAGACCACTGTCGTTTCATCTGCGAAGAAGGTAATAGACTCAGTATCTGGGGCATGCAAAAGGCGCTATGCCTATTATCTTCAAAAGAGCCACACCATCAATGGAGAGTACTATGCCAAATTGCTGAGCCAGTTATGAAATGCTATCAAGACAAAACGCCCAGACCCCAGACGAAAGGGGTCTTGTTTCACCAGGACAAATGTTCTGGCGCACAAGTCCGCGTGTTCAATGGCTACTCTGTGCGACTGTGGATTTGAACTGATTGATCACCCCGTCCTGTTCTCCTCATTTTGCCCTGTCTGACTATCATCTGATCCCCAACATAAAAAGGCTGGGGAGCAGTATCACAGTGATGATGATGATGTCATATCTGCTGTTGATGATTTTTTTAGCCAATAGGATGAAAGCTTCATCAACAGGATCCAAGCAATGAATGAAGTATGTGTAACACAAGAGAAACAAAGGCTCTTGATCAGCCCATGAACTTTTCATCCAAACCTCGTAGCTTTCTGCAAAACCCCTGTCAAGTACCTGGTTTTAGTCATAATATTTGTGTGAATCAGCCTTTAGCACACAGCATTATTAATATTACTTCCCTGTTCACTGCATTCTTTTTCAAGGTCTCTCATTTGTAGCCTATTTAATGAGCTTGTGTAAATGGAAGGTTCTACAGAAAGATGCTGAGAATTCCGTGTGAGCAACGAGAAAGTTTAAAGCAAAACGAGAACAAAAAGGACACTTGTACTTAGAAAGTGACAGTTGTAACTTCTGGGACACATTATGAGGAAAGAGGGCCTCGGGAATGTGACACTCACAGGACATATTGAAAACAAGAGGGGCAGAGAGAGAAACAAGTAACTTATTTAATGAGCTTGTGTAAATGGAGGGTAGAACAGGGACTGGTAAGAGTTGGTAAGAGACGGACTTTACTTAGCGCTAGAAATGAAATGAAGTTGTGGGGAGCCCACTTCCTGAAGTGATACAGCTCGTAAAAGAAGAATTTTGAGAAGATTAATTATCATTCCAGTGCATGTTTGAACAACAGAATAGATTCTTTTCCTTGTTTTAGTTTTCACAACTAAAGCAAGAAAAACAGTCTACTCAAATGACCAAATGCCCAGGAAAACTGGCAAAAACGGTCTTGTTCCATGAGGACAATGTTCCAGTGCACAAATCCTTGATTTCAATGGCTACTCTGCATCACTATGGCTTTGAAGGGGTTGATAACTTTGACTATTCTTCTCATTTGACCCCCAACTATCATTTATTCTCCAACATGAAGAAACACTTTGCTAGGAAGCAGTATCACAGTGATGATGATGCCATATCTTCTGTTAATGACTTTTTTAGCCAACAGTATCCAAGCATTTGAACACCAATGGATGAAGTATGTGTACCACAAGAGAGACTATGTTGAAAAATAAACCTCATTTGGTCACATATCATGAGAGGATCTTGATCAGCCGATGAACTTTTCAGTCAACCCTCATAGCTTTCTGAAGAACCTCTGTCAAGTACCTGGTTTTAGTCATAATATTTGTGTGAACCAGTATCAGTGATGATGATGATGTCATATCTGCTGTTGATGACTTTTTTAGCCAACAGGATGAAAGCTTCTTCATCAACAGTTAATATCATTATTCATTAGGTAGATCACATGACCATAGCGGAAATGCTTGTATAGAGGAAGTCATGTGATGTATGAGGTATTCACTATTTCTCCGCTATCCCCTATAGTATTTGGACCGTTATTCTCTTCTCACTATACGAAGAACTATTACTACGAGTATTATTCCAAGGCGTCTGACTATTGTTCAATGGCGTATTATAATTGGTATCTGTGATTACAAAGTCTCTACTATGTTGGCATTGACAAAGTATCCATACGTTGTCATCACACCAGTGGAAACAAGTGGTTGTTTTGACAACATAAAAAATATGTTATTACTATAATTATTATATTGTTTACAGATGTCTGAACAGCATTTCCCATTAAAACTACTAGACATGCTATTACCATTTTGGTCACAGAAAACCTTACAGCAAAGCAAGACTCAATTACACTTTCTAACAAATGTGCATCTCTTTTTGCAACTTTTCTGTGCCTATATCTACTGACGTCTAGCTGTGTGTTTTGCTATTCTAGACTATCCCTTATAGTGCGTATTCGCTATTTCTTCTCTATCCCCTATACTATTCGGTCTGCTATTGTCTTCTCACTATACGAAGTACTATTGCTACAAGTATTATCCTAAGACGTCGGGTATGATTATTGTTCATCGGCGTATTATAATTGGTATCTGCGATTACAAAGTCTCTACTAACTTGGTATAGACGAAGTATCAAGCAAGTATACGTTGTCATTATAACAGTGGCAGCAAAGGGTCGTTTTAGACGACACAACAAAAATTGTGCCACATCTAAGCTAGGCTTAGAAAATCATTTAGAGCTGTCTACAGTTGAACTGTTACAGCCAAACAGTCGAACTCTCTGCCTCTGAGCAGAGAGGAACCTAGACGAGACTCCGCCGAAGGGCAGAGTCTCGTTCGGGGTGGTTGACTGCCCCTGAACCCGTTTATGCGGGTTCAAAGAGGGATTATTTTTGGCCGAGCCTACGGGCTCAGAGATCCCACGTTAAACCGGCCTTGTACCACATTTAACCATCGTGGGGGGTAACTAAATATCGCTGTCGGATAATGGTTGAAATAAATTACAGGATGATTGAAAACTAACTGCCTATTTTAAGATGATGGACTCTCTTGTCTAACTATAATTTTAAAAAGATGGGAGAGGCCATCAAACATAAAATAGGGAGTTACTATTAAATCGCCCTGGAATTTAAGACACAATTTTCTACCATTCAAGTTTTGTACCCCCTTCATTGCTTGGCTCATCATTCTCAGTGAAATACGAAACTACATTCGGAAGATCCTATTACAAGCTGATTTACTAATTCTATATTCTGTTTTCTGCCATTCAATCTTTGTTCGGCCTTGGTTGGTTAAATAATTATTCATAGTGCTGGAATATTCAATTATATTCAGAAGACACTATTAAAAACAGATTAACTAATTCTAGAGTATTCTACCATCCAATTTTGGTTCTGCCTTGGGCGCTAGACTAATAATTCATAGCGGTGAAATAAGTAATTACCTTCTGAAAACTCCATTAAAAGCTGATTTAATAATTCTAGACGGAGTTTTCTACCGTTCAATCTTGCTTCTGTTTTGGTTGCCAGACACATAATTTGATGTAATGAATACGCATACATCTGGGTTCCCACTCACAGTAATATGATTGGCTGGTGTCAGCCATAAATACAGACTGATGTGGAGGTACAGGACGATGCCTATTGGCTACGACTATTGCCTACGCCTATTGCCTACCACTACGACGAGGACCAGTCCATTACGGTTACCTGCTAGATTGTCCTAATCGGCTACAGTAGTCCAAAACCACTTTGCTACTTCGAACAAATATATCACTTTTCGGGACATATTATAATTTATAGCGGTGAAATAAGTAATTACTTTCCGAAAGTTCTATTAAAAGCTGATTTAATAATACTAGAGGGAGTTTTCTACCGCTCAAACTAAGTTCTGCCTTGGGTTCTAGACTCATAATTCATAGCGGTGAAATACGTAATTACCTTCCGAAAAGTCTATTAAAAACTGATTTAATAATTCTGGAAGGAGTTTTCTACCATTCAAAGTTGTTTCAGTCTTGTTTGGTTCCCACATAATTCCCAGCCGTAAAATACCTTATTTCTATCAGAACCCCCTAAATGAAGCGATGAGAAACTAATTCTAGGCTCAGTTTCTTATCCTTCATCTTTGCTTTTGTTGCCTCATCATTCATAGCGGTGTAGTACGTCATTACTTTCGAAAGCTTTAATAAAATGGCGTTGTCAGTGTAGTATGAATTTGCCAACGCTGTTTTCTCGAGATTGGACTGTTGACGACCATTTTATAGCAGGTATGTCTGTGTAGATAATTAATAACTTAGATTTGGTAAAAAGGCCATAAGAGTAGGACGCTCACTAGACGATTAAAGTAGTCTTTTGTTAAAATATTTTTACAAGTGTGGAGTGTCTTTGCAGTATTCAAACTTCCGGCTTTGTTGAAGCCTTCTTTGGACCCGGATTATTGGCGCTGATATGCAACTACTTTAGCCAGTATAGAGGCCAAAATGTTAAAAATGATGAAAATTCCTTGTGCTTCTTTTTCTTCACCACAAGAACCCTGTTCGCAGTTTCAAACCTCCGCTTTCTGTATGCCCTGAAGAGCCATCTCGCAATCTATGAGGATTGGTGTGTGAGGGGTCGGCTGGGTTTGAAAGTAACTGGGCAGTAGAAAGCTTGTTGTCCAGGATGGAAGGTTAGAGGAGAGGGTTGGAATATTGTGAATTCTCGCTGTTTCCAATCAGTCGTCTGTTTTCACACTTCAGTGCCTTCAGTCGCGTCGCTTTTTCTCATTCGCATCTCTGGTAGAAGAGGAAACGCATTCAATTGATGTGCGATCCTATGTGGAGCGACCGAGTGATTCATATCTGCGCAGGCGCAGTGAGTGCCCCGTCACCTATCACCTCGCAGCTGTGCCAGGCGCGCGTGCGCGCACACACGCATGCGCGGAAGGGCAGACGTCGTGCAGCTACGCAGACGACAAGGGCTAGGACGACATTGTAAATAACAATAGCAGTGTGGACACGAACAAATTAGGGCCGACAATCATTTACGGGGCACGCATTCACACTATTACTTCTATACAAATGGACGATTACAGAAATATTCCTCGGAACAGGACACATTGCGTTACGTACGCTCACTCATAAATGAAACCACGTTTATTATTCAGTAAAAACAAGAATTGAATTTGTTTTCCGCATGACACGAAGAAAAAGAGAGAAAAAGAAAAAAAAATGTAAGTATTTGACGCACATGTAAGATCAACGTCTTATTAGGTTATACAAGAAACAGAATAAACGTTAAACAAAGCCATGATATATATATATATATATATATATATATATATATATATATATATATTTATGAATAAAAAATGACAATAGGAAAACTAGCAATTGCTGACGCATTTCGTCAATGTGGACTTTATCAAAGCAAAATACGAAAATTTTATTTCGAAAATTATTTTCGTATTTTGCTTTGATAAAGTCCACATTGGACGAAACACGTCAGCAATTACCAGTTTTCCTATTGTCATTCTTATTCAAAATATTGTCTTTTCTGGTTAAATAGAAATTTTATATATATATATATATATATATATATATATATATATATTATGAGTCTTATTATCAATATTATTAATTTTTTGTTGTTTTTTTATCCCTTATTCTTTCCTACTGGATAAATAGAGCGTGCAATGGATAAATTGTTGTCTGAATGACGAAAAAATGAAAATAACACCAACATCTCACTTTAACAGATATATTTACGAAAATTACACGAAAAATATCTTGAAATATTTTGCATCATACAACATAAACAGAACTTTGCACTATGTCATATAAGCATTTATTTAGTCCATGGGGGTAGATTAGTAAATTCCAGTGTATACCATCTGATGAAGGCCGGAGCGTACAAATGTCCGAATGATGTAAATAGTTAAAATACCTCATCTCAGAAATATATACATGGTGCGATGAGTAAATTGTCATCTAAATTACGCAAAAACGAACAAAAGAAAAAAAAACAACAAAAAACGCTGACATTTCATTTTAACAGACATATTTACAAAAATTACACAAAAATATCTTGAAATACTAAAGAGTAAATTTATTCAATACAATCGCCATTCGCTTCAGCCACGGCCTCCAGACGACTTCGGAATCTTCTGCAACTCTTTTGGGCTGTCTTTTTTTTTAAGTTGGTGAATGCTGCCGTAATCCTTGCCTTCAGTTCATCTTTGGTGTTCAAGGAGTTTTGTTGGCCTTTCACTCAACTGTGCTGCACACGTCATAATCAAGATGGTTGCAGTCTGGAGAGTTAGGTGGCCAGATGTAAGAGGTGATGTAATCACAGAAATTGTCTGACAGCCATGACTGGGTTCTCCCGTTTGTGTGGCATGGTGCAGAGTCCCGTTACCAGACATAGGTTCTTCCAGCAGCTACACTCTTGGCCCACGATTGCACTACCTCCTCAAGGCTCTTGATGTAGGCATCCATGTTGAGTTTGAGAATGGAGGCATAACGTCGCCATTACTAGTGATCACTCCAAACACCTTCGTAATCACCATTAGACTCATCCGACTCTTTCCGAATCATCTGTACTGTACTTAAACTGACACCCAAACACTTCGGATCCGTGCTTCCGGCGTGAATGCCAAACAGTACAACATGTCGTTTCCTAATTTCCGGCGGAGTGAATTGTGTCATGGTGCTCTGTTTCTCATAGGCAGTACCCAACTGACCCTACTATACTGTGCAGTCGACAAAATCAAAAGCAAACAACGCACATGCGCGAAATTAAAAAATGGCGACAATTTACCCATCGCACTCCGTATATACACTATTTTAATGTTTATATAATACTCACAAACACACGCACATATATACACCCAATCACACATACATGAATATATTTAAATGAGAGCTAACTGAGCTATAGTCAGGGAGATGTATTGTGAAGCTATATACATAAAACAGTTGAAACCTAACCTGAACAGAATAAACTACGAAATCTCCACAAATATCCTTAAATGCCTATAATTGATAACAGAAGCCATTGGTTTATACCAACGGCTTCCCATTCTTAATATTTCTTGTTTTCACTCTTGCGTAGTCATGTGTTACGTCATGAGCTGCGACGTGATTTTTACTTCCGCGTCTCGTATACACGAGTTTGTCGTTGCTTTGAAATTTTTCATGCAACAAAAACGGACTATCATTATTGTTTCGTCCGTGTATTGGTTGATATCTTGAAATGTAATTGTCATCTTTGATAATGGCTTATGTAAGTCGAAAGCTTAGATTGGATTTAAACATGTATCAATATGGTGATTTCCTTTCGTCTTTCAATGATAATGTTATTAATCTTATCAGACAATATGAAAGGAACTTAAAATAAATAGATAAAACTTGTCTATATTATTTAATGAAACATGCATCAATGAAAAATGGCTGCCTAAATATACACACTATATATATATATATATATATATATATATAACTCACATTACATGTATCTGACCATAGCTCAATTAGGTCTCATTTAAATACAAATGGAAATCTCCCAAATTCTATGCGATCCGAACAATACGCGTTGATTCACAAATATACACACGTAACAAGAAGAAGAAGAAGAAGAAGAAGAAGAAGAAGAAGAAGAAGAAGAAGAAGAAGTGGGAGTTGGCCAGCAAGGGTGTGAGGATGAGAAGGAGGAGGAGAAAGGCGAAAAAAACTGGAGGTGGAAGATAGAGAGGACGAGAAAGAGAAAAAGTGGTGGTGGTAGAGAGCAAAGGTTAGATCAGGAGGCAAAGAAATAGAAAATGGAAAAAAAAAAAGAAGGGTAAAAAGAAGACAGGGAAGAAGAAGTAGAAGGTGATTAGCAAATGGAAGAAGAAGAAGAAGAAGAAGAAGAAGAAGAAGAAGAAGAAGAAGAAGGATGTTGATTATTATTATTTTGTGAAATTATTCTTCATTAATTATTCTTTTATATGTTTATGCTCACTGATAATATTGTCTGGGAACTGCTACAAACACACACACATTATATCTTAAAATGATTAAACATATCTTACTGGAATTCTCCAAGGTCTTTATAAAACTATTGGTCTCTACTTTGAGCAATAAGAAGAATAATAATTACTCTCCAAACAACAGAAGAATCGTAATGAAATCGATTATAAACGAAAATGACATGTTCATAATTAATTAATCATATCTAAGGATCGGAAGCTCATGGAGGTTTTCGAAATAAAGTTCATATATATATATATATATATATATATATATATATATATATATGTGTGTGTGTGTGTGTGTGTGTGTGTGTGTGCTATTCCAGATTCATTTTCCAAGTTATTCAAGATGATCTTCGCCCTCACTAACCTTCTAACTTTCTGTCCTGGAGTAAGAAAGTGCCTCACATGTTTCACGTACGATTTTATTTTCAAGTTTTTTTTCACTGCTCTTTGGACCGTCATAGCTGAAGCTTGTCTCTCACGTGCGAAAGGTCTTATGGATTGAGTTGGATCTTTTCTTATTGATCTCTTCAGCTCTAAGTTGTAATGATGATCCCTCTTCCTGTTGTGACCTCCTGAACCAGTTTTCCTTTCTACTGTTCCCTCTTTTCCCCCACTTATTCATCGTTCTCTTGATGGTTCTTGAATGGACTTTGAAAATGGAAGCCAGAGTATGAATGTTGTTATCATTACTGAAGGCCTGAATGATCTCTTTACTCTCACCATTGCTCAGTTGGGAAGACAGTGGGGCTGACACAAAACGATTATAACCTGTTCTTTTTTTTAGCTGAATAACTCAAGGGGTTTTTGATTCTAATAACAAATGGCGTCAAGATGACTAAACGTCTTATCTAGAAAAAAGAAACTAAATTAGTTTAGTGTTATTTTTTAGATTTTTTTTAAGCGTTTCACCCCAAGCAAGGCGGGAAGCCACTAGTACCCCAAGGGTTATAGAGAATTTGGAGCGATAGCAGATAGGAATGATAGAGGAGAGGATGAGGAGAAGGATAGTGGATAGATCAAGGCAACTGGAGATGTCGATTGACATTACATTTGAATAGTTGGAGATTAAAGCTATCAGGGAAACAGGAATAGGGAAGTGAGTTCCACAGGCAAGAGGTGCTATTGGAGTAGAAGAGGCGACTAGATTTAACAGTTTCAACAGTGAAAGGGTGAGAGCGGGATGCCAGCCTCATAGGACGCTTGAACTCATGAAGTCTGGAAACCAGCGAAAGCAGCTCATTGGAGCAATTACCATGAAAGTATTTGTAAAAAAGACAAAGAGAGGCGACGGCACGTCTGTGAGAGAGCGACTGCAGACGAGATGCCAGATCAGGGCCAATTATATTGCATATCCGTCTCTGGATCTTATCAAGAACCCCGAGGCAAACAGATGGGGTCTAGATCATATACGGCAGCAATGCTCCATGCAAGGGCGAATGGTTGATTTGTAGATTTGAAAGATCGATTCCGGAGAGAAAAATTTCCTGGCGCGGCACAGGGAACCAACTTTTAAACATTTTGTGGGATGTAAAATTATCCCATGCTGTGCCACGATTTTGACAATTTTGCTGTTACACCGGATATATACCTACTCCTATCAAAATTAACAATGTGTGTAAGTATATTTGACAGTTATTGCATGAGAAGTTGTTCCGATTGTGGCATGCCAGTGATGACACCTTTTCAGATATCTGGAGAGTGGACATAGATTAGGGAGAGGTGTTTCCATACTTTTTACAAGGGTATTAGAATTTAGTGGACATGAATAAACTCAAAGATTAAAACTCAGATATATTGACATGTTCTGAGATATATCTGTATGCTCTTCTTTGTATGTGCCGTGTCCTTTCAGGACGTAGGCGATCATGGCCCTCCACTTCTTCCTATCTCTTGTGGCTCTCAACAGGTTTTGTGTTTCTGCTAACTAAACAGACCATGCTCCGCCATCCACCTGCCGAAGACCGCTAGGTATCTCATGCGCTGCTTTCCCCTGTCTTTTTCTCCTTCTATTCGTCCTGTGTGTGTCAGATTCTCCAGGCCCCCTTTTCTCATGACGTGTCCCAGAAATTTCATCTGCCTCTTCTTGATGTCAAGTACAAGCTTCCTCCTTGTTTGCATCCTCTGCAAGACCTCATCGTTGGTCACATGCTCGGTCCATGATATTCTCAGCATCCTTCTGTAGAACCACATCTCCGCCGCCTCGAGTCTCTTCTTCATCTTTGAGGAGACCGTCCAACATTGGTTGCCCGTATAGAAGGACAAATGTCACGTAGTAGCTCAGTACTCTTTTCTTTGTCACCATAGAACCCCCCCCTCTTTCGCAGCACTCTGCTCAGCTACTGGAATGCATCCTGGGCCATCCCAATCCGTCTTCGGATCTCAGCGTCACACCTACCGTCCTCCGTCAAGACATTTCCCAAATGCTTAAACTTTCTCTGTATGCTCACATAGACACTAGAACATTATTAATTATCATAATAATAAGATCAAATACACAAGCAATATATTTTTTACGAAGAAACACCAATAACAAGTTGGATATAGACGTGTAACAAAATGCCCGTTAAAACCTTTTCAAATTACTCTACGAATAACTGCCGATAGCTTTTGTAATTCGAGCTATCCTATGACCAGGTTGATATATGCATCGCTATGGCCTTTAATATATTAGGCTGCATCAAAAGTTTTTTCGTGTTTCAAACATTAATACTCGAACAAATTACATACGAAATGCGTTTATTCATCAACATATAGTGATTTCCTAAGCGCAGTTTAGATGTGACACAAGGCCGAAAGAATGGAGCACCCAGTCTGGATTGAACTCACTACTCAGTCGTAAATGATCTAGCAAGACAAGCTTTCTAATCATTACACTATGCCGAGGTGCCCTTATTCATCAACATATAGTGATTTCCTAAGCGCAGTTTAGATGTAGCACAAGGCCAAAAGAATGGAGCACCCAGGCTGGATCGCACTCACTACTCAGTCGTAAATGATCTAGCAAGACAAGCTTTCTAAACATTACACCATGTCGAGGTGCCCTTATTCCTCAACATATATCCCATCATATCCTATTGTCTATTGACATCGTTGCACCAGAAGCTCAATTCGATGCTGATACCATTTGTCTGGTTTCGAGTCAAAAATCCTCCCTGTGCCCATTTTTCAACGTCATCCATATTGTTGAACATCCGTCCGCGCAGGAAATGAGCCATAGCTAGGAAAACGTAATATGATAATGCAAGCTTTGGACTGTAGGCAGCACTTTCAGCCAAGCCAAGTTAGTGCTTGATCATATTGGCAGTGTGTGTTGGTAGTCTGATAGCTTCGTGCTTTCCTATGAAGACAGAATGCATGGTCATCAGTAAAAGAATGAACCCGAAATGCGATTTGCAGGTCGGGAAGACTAGAATCAAGCAGACCCGGAAGTTTAAAGACCTGGGAAGCGTTTTGACAGAGGACGGTAAGTACGACACTGAGATCTGCAGACGTATTGGAATGGCCAAGGACGCATTCCTAAAGCTGGACAGAGTACTGCGAGACAGGAGGATTTCTTTGGTAACAAAGAAAAGAATACTGAACTGTTACATGACATCTGTTCTTTACGGCAGCAAATGTTGGACGATTTCCTCAAAGACGAAGAAGAGACTTGAGGCAAGAGATGTGGTTCTACAGAAGGATGCTAAGGATATCATGGACCGAGCATGTGAGCAACGATGAGGTCTTAGGTTGCAAACAAGGTGAAGGCTTATACTTAATATCAGTAAGAGGCAGCTGAAGTTTCTGGGACACATAATGAGGAAGGAGGGCCTGGAGAATCTGATACTCACAGGTCGAATAGAGGGAAAGAGAGACAAGGGAAAACAACGCATGGCATACCTAGCAGGCTTAAGCAAGTGGATGACAGAACGTGGTCTGGGGGAGGAAGCGGAGGGAAGGAACTTGTGGAGACCTGCAAGGGATAGAGGGAGGTGGAGAGCCATGATCGTCTACGTCCTGAAAGGACACGGCATATAAAAAAAAAGAAAATTTCCTTTGATAAAAGATGCAAATCCATTCTAATTTTTAAAATGTATCTTCTGATAACTTTTGTACCTTTAGTTGGTTTGGTTTGTTTTCTTTTACGGTATATCAACCCCAATGGGTTATTTAATGCCGACAATTTTCATTACTGGTAATATTTAGTTTTGTCAAAAATCTATTTCTACCAATAATTTTTTTTTCAAAAATGTGTTGCTGGTAATAATTTTTTTTCAAAAAAACTATTGCTGGTAATATTTTTTTCCTAAAACATGTTTTGTTGATAATAGTTTTTTTTTTTTTTTCTTCAAACATTTATTGATGGAAATCATTTTTTTAGAAAGTATTTCTAGTATTAAAACCTTGTTTTTACACTTTCATAATGTTTTTATCCCAGATTCGGGGGTTAACTATTTGCCCATAGCTGGGACCCTAACAGGTGCTACCACCCCGGGTCAAGGCGGATCTGGGAACACCAGCAATTAAGAGGTGGTTCCACGCTCGTCAAAACCTCCTGATCAGAGGTCTTGCTGTTAGACGTTAGTTTATCGTCTTACCCAGGACGCGGATGTAGTTTATCGTCATACCCAGGACGTATTTTGGGTTGTTTTATCACCAAGATGATATATCTCCTTTCATATAAAATCTGAATCTTCTGTTTAATTTAGTAAAGAAGGAATTTATTAAAATAAACCTGATGAAGGGACTTCTAACAAAACAGAAAGATGTCAAGAGTTGCTTTCTTTCCTTATTTTGTCCTTGTACATGGACACGCGTCTAAGAGCGCATGCGTAAGCGCAGTCTATTTTAATCTGCCATCTCTCTTGTCATGCAAGCATTCAGTGGATTGCTTTGACAATTAGAGCTGTACATAAGAACGGGAACAGAAGCGATAAGGAAAGGAAGCTTCGAATAAGAACGACAAGCGAAAAGTGAAAGGTCGTTGAAGCGGACTTTACTGCGAAAAGAATCAGGAGAAAAGAGAAAGAAAAAAAGAATGAAAGAAAGGAGAGAGAAAGTGAGAGAGAGAGAGAGAGACGTGAGAAGACGAGATTTCTACTGAAATAAGGATCATATGACTTTAATAAAAGCGACGGCAGTAACAACAGTAAAAACAGCAATCACATTAATAACATAATGATAATTGCCTGAAGACAGGGTTGTTAGCAAAAGGGGCAGCCCAACATGTAAATTACAAATTGGGGATACCAAAATCAAATAAGTACGACAATTTGAATATCTGGAAAGTGTTCTAACAGAGGATGGAATCTGTGACACTGAAATCCGAAGGTGTATTGGGATAGCGAAAGATGCCTTCGAAAAGCTAAGCAAAGTATTCAGTCAGTTATGGTGCCATGCGTGATACAGACTTAGGCGATCATGTATCTTTCGATATGTGACTTGCGAGGCAGATTTTTTTCCCGCAGTAGGTCGCCATTTCTTTCTAAGCGAAGTTTAGTAAATACCTATGAGGCACTGACCATGGTGTAATGGTTAACAACCTAGTGTCACTGACCATTACTACTGTAGTGAGATTGATTCTCACTGGGTGCCTCACTCTTGCCTCTATACTAGACAGTGCTAAGCCCAGTAAATACCGACAATCCACTGACCATGGTGCAATGGTTAACTAGCTAGTCTCACTGACCATTACTACTGTATTGAGTTTGATCCTCACTAGGTGCCTCACACTCCTGCCTCTATGCCAGTTGATACCTACAATCCACTGACCAAGGTGCAAGCTAGACTCACTGATCAAACAGTGATTTTGATCCTAAATGGGTGCCTCAGACTTGGCAGGTAGTGATAAGCCCAGTAGTGACCTACAATAGAACCTGTCCTGCTATTTACCTATAGCTGGGGGGTGAAGAAGAGGATTCATACCTTTCTCATAGGTATTAGCACCTAAGTGAATGTAATGGATTCGACTGGAATTCGAACTCGGATCTCCGATTCCGCAATCCGAGCCGCTATCCATTACTCCATGAGTAAAGTATTAAGAAACAGTAAGAATTTCCTTAGAAATAGTACTGAATTGTTACGCAATATCAGTCTTCATATATGGCAGTTGATACTGGACAATCTCCTCTCAGATGTAGAAGAAACTTGAAGCAAGAGAATTGATGATGAGAATACGACAGACACATGTGAGCAAAGGGCGAAGTATTAGAGAAAAAAGAAACAAAAAGGAAAATTATACTTAACATGAGGAAGAGACTGATTTAAGTTTCTAGGGTGCATAATGAGGAAAGAGGGCTTGGAAAATCTGATACTCACAGGATAGATTGAAGGCAGGAGAGACAAAGGAAAACAATGCATAACCTATCTAGCGAGCCTGAGTAAATGGACGGTGGAACGAGGTTTAAGAGACATAATAGAAAGACAAAACATTAAGAGCTACAAAGGATCTCTAACGTGCTGAATTGACACGGCATATAAAAGTAGTAGTAGTAGTAGTAGTAGGAGGAGGAACATGAGTAGTAGTAGTAGAAGAAGAAGGAGGAGGAGGAGGAGGAAGAAGAACAAGGGAAGAAGAAGATGAAAAAGAAGAAGAAAAAGAAGGAGAAGAAAAAGAAGGAGAAGGTGGAGGTGAAGAAGGTGCAAGATGAGAAGAAGAAAAAGAAGGAGGAGGAGGAGGAGGAGGAGGAAGAACAGGGGAAGAAGAAGAAAAAGAAGAAGAAAAAGAAGGAGAAGAAAAAGAAGGAGAAGAAAAAGAAGGAGAAGGTGGAGGTGAAGAAGGTGCAAGATGAGAAGAAGAAAAAGAAGAAGGAGGAGAAACAGAAGAAGAAGAAGGAGGAGGAGGAGGAACAGAAGAAAAAGAAGGAGAAGGAGGAGGAGGAACAGAAGAAGAAGAAGGAGGAGAAGGAACAGAAGAAGAAGAAGGAGGAGGAGGAGGAACAGAAGAAGAAGAAGGAGGAGGAGGAGGAACAGAAGAAGAAGAAGAAGGAGGAGGAGGAGGAGAAGAAGAAGAAGAAGGAGGAGGAGGAGGAGAAGGTGCAGGATGAGCATGAGAAGATGATGATGATGAAGAAGGAGAAGAAGAACGAGCAGGATGAGGATGAGGAGAAGGAGGAGGAGGAGGAGGAAGAAGAAGAAGAAGAAGAAGAAGAAGAAGAAGAAGAAGAAGAAGAAGTAGTGAAATTATTGGGAAAGATTATGACCATTAATAGTCGCATCTAGTTTCTCTCTTAACGTCAATTACCTATTTTTTATTTTATTTCTTCCAAAAGCCTGAGTGTCTGTTTTTTTTTCCGCCTTTCCTTGTCTACGCCACATCCCCATTCCGAAAAATGAAACCCCTACTACAAACCGCTACCCACTCTTTCAATTGTCCCCACCCAACCAAGAAAAGCCTCTCCTGACCCTACACCCTCTCCTTTATTATTTATTTCTCCATTTTATATCCCAACTTTCTTCCATTTGGGGGGGGACATGGGTTGGCGAAGGTGTAGAGATGAAATATGGGTGTTAGGAAAGCGTGGTGGGGGTGGTGGTGAGGGTGGGGGTGGCTGAGATTTCGTTTCCTTGCTTTTTCCGTCGGGGATTTGTAAGGGAAGAGCGGCAGAAATATCATTTGACAAGAGAAGTAAATGACTATATAGGCCGCCCCGCCGTTGTGGGAGGTGGCGGGGTGAAAAGTGATAGCAAATTGGTCTAACGGCTCGATAATAATGAGTACGATCCTCACTGGGTGTTTCATATTTAGGGTGTTGTTTCGTGTTAAGCCAACATAGTAAAAATCAAAAACAAAACAATGCAAAAAAAAAAACAAAGCAAACCAAAAAACCGACAAAAGACAACAAACAGAAAAAAATATGCCATAAAGCAAATCACCCAGGAAAGCCCCCCCACACACACCGCACCTCGTTCAATGGTGGAAACTGGTCTGCGTTGAACATGAAGAAACCAGGTGTTGCTGTTCAAGGAAACACATTTATTGTTTTCATTGTAGTATCTCTCGGACACAAATAAGTGAGAAAGTCAAAAATTATCCGTACTCCTGTATAAAGATATGTTATGGCGGAAATACGCATAATTTTTTACTTACTCTCGTCGTTGTCGTCTTCTTCTTCTTCTTCTTCTTCTTCATTCTCCTCCTTCTTCTTCTTCTTCATTCTCCTCCTTCTCCTACTCATCCTCATCCTGCTCGTTCTTCTTCTCCCCCTCCTTCTTCATCATCATCATCATCATCATCATCTTCTCATCCTCATCCTGCACCTTCTTCTCCACTTCTTCTTCTTCCTTCCTTCCTTCTTCCTCCTCCCTCATTCTTCTTCTTCTTCTTCATGTTCCTCCCCCCTACTTCTTCTTCTTCTTCTTCTACTCCTTCTTTATGTTCTTCCATTTCCCCTTCTTCTTCTTCTTCTTCTTCTTCTTTCATCTTTTTCACTACTACTTCATGTCCCCCTCCTCCTTCTTCTTCCTCCCTCCTTCTTCTTCTTCTTCTTCCTCTTATGTTCTCCTATTACATCTTTCTTCTTGCTACTACTACTACTCATGTTCCCCTACTTCTTCGTCCTCCTCCTCCTCCTTCTTCTTTCTTCTTCTTCTTCTTCTTCTCATGTTCCTCCCATACATCTTCCCCAACCTACTACTACTACTACCTCTCATGTTCCCCCTTCTTTTCTTTTCTTCTCCTTCTTTCTTTTCGTCTTCGTCATAACTATAAATGTTCATCCATGTCCTGGTAAGACGATAAACTACGTCCAACATTTGGGCCTCTGATCAGTAGGTTTTCAGCGTGGAACTACGTCTTTATTTCTGGTGTTCCCAGGTCCATCCTGACGCGGGGTGGTAGCACCTGCCAGGGTCCCAGATATGGGCAAATAGTTAACCCCCAAACTGCGACAAAAACACTATGAAGTGCAAAGATTTTATTACCAGATATACTACATTTGGAGAAGCTTCTCTCTGCACAAGCCAAAGAAACTGTGAGCGTCAAAAACAGCCGTAGAGCAATCACAGCTATTTGGCGCTGTTTCTTAAACTTGCCATCGTTAAAATATAAGACGAGTAAAAAATATTCATGGCTGCTGCTGGCGAGTTAGAGGGTGGTTTCGTCTGAAGGGGGTGGGCATATTTTCATTAGCCTAGGGTCTCCAAAAGGTCACAATTTGGTCCTTTGTAGAAAGACGTATGCCGCATTCAGAACGACCTGCAGTCAGTTATATGCCATGTGTGATACACGCTTAGGCGATCATGTATCTTTCGATACATGACTGACGAGGAATTTTTTTTCCCGCAGTAGGTTGCCATTTTTTCTGCGGTAGACCCCTTGCCATCCAAGGCTATAGAACCCTGCCTGTCCTGCTATTTAACCATAGCTGTGGGGGGAGAAGAAGAGGATTCATATCTTTCCACAGGGTATTAGCACGTTAGTTAATTCGACTGGAATTCGATCTAGGCTCTCCAATTCTTCAATCCAAGCGGCTATCCATTACTCCACCGTGCCTTCTTTCTTAAACTCACCCAGTTATGTGTCATGAACACGCTTAGTCGATCATGCTTAGTCGATCATGTATCTTTCGATACATGTCAGACGAAGCAGATTTTTTTCACCGCAGTTAGTTGATATTTCCTTCTGTCTGCGGTAGACCCGTTGCTATCCAAACCTATAGAACCCGGTCTATCTTGATATTTAACCCATAGCTGGGGGGAGAAGCAGAAGATATCCAAGTGAATGTAATGGATTCGACTGGAATTCGAACTCGTCTCTCTGATTTCTCAATCCCAGCTGCTATCCATTACTCCACCGTGCCTCCTTTCTTAAACTCAGTCAGTTATGTGCCATGTGTGATACACGCTTAGGCGATCATGTATCTTTCTATACATGACTGACGAGGCTGATTTTTTCCCCGTAGTTGGTACCATTTCTTTCTGTCTGCTGTAGACCCGTGGCTATCCAAACCTATAGAACCCGGTCTATCTTGATATTTAACCCATAGCTGGGGGGAGAAGCAGAAGATATCCAAGTGAATGTAATGGATTCGACTGGAATTCGAACTCGTCTCTCTGATTCTCCAATCCCAGCTGCTATCCATTACTCCACCGTGCCTCCTTTCTTTCAAACTCAGTCAGTTTTTCCCCCCGTGTGATGTCTGCTGTAGACCCGTACAAACCTATAGAACCTGGTCTATCTGATATTTAACCCATAGCGATCATGTATCTTTCTGATACATGACTGACGAGGCTGATTTTTTTCCCGTAGTTGGTACCATTTCTTTCTGTCTGCGGTAGACATCCAAAGCTATAGAACCCGGTCTATCCTGATATTTACCCATAGCTAGAGGGTGGGGTGGGAAGAAGAGGATATCCAAGTAAATGTAATGGATTCGACTGGAATTCGAACTCGGCTCTCCGATTTCTTATTCCGAGCCGCTATCCATTACTCCACCGTGCCTCCCTAACCGCCTGCGACCATTACAAAAATGTTCTCGTAAAATCTGCTACGCACAGTCCACGCTAAAACTGAAAACAAAAGACTTCGTTCGCCTGAGTTCAGGATAATAGCTGACAATATGATTAAGAGAAGCAAATCATGTGTACCTACTGTTATTAATGGCCCTGGGGTTATTTCATCTTCACTGAACAAGGCTAAGCTCTCTGTCATGAACTTAAACTCCACGCTAAATGTCCAGAATAATCTCCTTGTCTTCCACCCTCCCTTTCACATAGCATAAGCTTTGAGATCTCACGATCTCGGCTCGAGATGTTTCTTGGCTCATCGAAAACGTTGAATCTGGTCGGGATAAAGATCTCTGTTGTTGTACTTAAGTAACTTAGCTAGCTCTGAACTATCTCCATTCATGGCAAGTTTATTTAACTGGTGACTGAAAGAGAAATGTTTCCCAAATCTGTGGAAGTCGTCATCTGTTTGCCCTGTTTTCAACGACACAGCTGAGCGTTCCTCTTCATCACAGTATCTCCCCATCAGTCCCAGTGTCATTAGCAAACATTTGTCAACAAGGGTATAGTTAATCATAACCAGAGACAACCCCATGAACAGTATGGGTTTCGATCTTCTAAAACCACTGCTGATGTTATAACTCTCATTATCCATATAAGCATCAGCAGTCTCTCTCTCTCTTTCGTCTACTCTCTCTCTCTTCGACTGTATCTCTCTCCTCTACTCTCTCCTATTCTCTTCCCCTATCTACTCTACTCTCTCTCCTCTCTTCTCTTGCTTTCCTCTCCCCTCTCCTCTCGCTCTTCTCCTCTTTCTCTCCTCTAGTCTCTCTCTCTCCTCACCCCTCTCTCTCCCCTAGTCCCTCTTCTCTGTCTACTCTCTCTCATTTTTTTTGCTCTCTTTTCTCCCTCTCCTATTCTCTCTCTCTCTTCTTCTCTCTCGTCTCTACTCTCTCTCTCTCATTCCTCCCCTCTTTTTCATTTCCCTTATTTCTCCTCTAGTACCACTTCTTCTCTCTCGTCTCTTCTCTCGCTCTATCCTACTCTCTCTCCGTCTCCCTCTCTGGAAATCTTCATCATCTTTAGGTGCCGTGTCCCTTCAGGGTGTAGACGATCATGGCCCTCCACAACTTCCTGTCTCTTGTAACTCTTAATAAATTTTGTCATTTTTGCTATTTCTCCTAAACCCTGTTCTGCCTATCAAGCAGGTTACGTATTGTTTTCCTCTGTCCCTCTTCCCCTCCATCTGACCTGTGAGTATCTGATTTTCCAAACCCTCCTTCCTCATTATGTTCCCCATAAATTTCAACTGTCGCTTCCTGATGTTTAATGTAAGCTGTTACTTCTGTTAAAAGTCCTCAAGAGATGTGGTTTCTGTTATTTGGTAAAGTTCTTTGGTTGTGATTCTGTAGCGCCAATACTCAAGTGTCGTCTTCAATAAAACCCATAGGATTGACTGTTTTAAAGCCATTTTTAACCACTGATCTTAGAAAGCGGTTGTATACAACTGATAATTTAGATATTTCTGAACGAGTTTGGCGCCATGGATGACATGCATATGAAAGTCTCGAACTGACGAGACTAAGAACATGACACGAGTTTTCCGAAAAAAAGAAGGAAAAACGAGTAGGAAGTCGCAAGTTATGGGGGAGAATGAAAATTGTTGTTAGACTGGGAAGAAAAAATGGAAAGAAAGAAAATGAGAGAAAAAAGAATATTGAAGGATACTGAGGCTTTAATGAAAATACCGAAAAAAGGA